TGTGTGTCTGATTTGGTATTTCTCTGATGGATACTCACACCCCGAGTGTGTGTCTGATTTGGTATTTCTCTGATGGATACTCACACCCCGAGTGTGTGTCTGATTTGGTATTTCTCTGATGGATACTCACACCCTGAGTGTGTGTCCAATCTCATATTTTTCTGTTACATCTGACAGGCTGCTGCAGTTCCGTCTGTCCCACAGGGTGAGGCACCCAAATGCCATGATGACGTACACCTACAAAAATCGACAGTTAAACAGATACATTCCCAAATCAGACATGACGTTACTCCATGCACTTCATAACGAGGGGCTGTACCAGAGAAACAGTTCGCCATCATAAAATGTAGACAGAATTCAACACCAAATAAATAATCTTGAAATGCTGAACCTATTCAAGCCATCAGTTGGCAATAATTACGATGACATCATAATACAGGCAACATGTAGAATATAGTATGGTACAACAGCAGAAAATTCAGCAGCAGGTGGAATGGAAGATAAGCTCATTGTGTGATGCATATTGTGTAGAATTTGTGGGACCCCCATCCTGGCCGTAATCCCACCCCAGCCTGTCGGAGGCATATGCCCATATGCTAGAGGAACAAATGCAAAGGTTATGTAAAGCAGAATTACAGACAAAAAGCTGTTCGAATTTACAGGAGTCTTTAAGAAAGGGTTTATCTACAGGCATGATTCTCAAGAACAAATAGTGTGGCTTATCATGTTACATAGAATTTTAGCTTTCAGTGTGCCTTATTTGTGCCAATTGCGAAAACGTGGCAAGCAGACAGACCGGCTCAGGCCAAAATGAAGGATTACAGAATCCATTAAATATATAACCAAATATTATTCAGGGTTAGTGGTGAAAACAGCGTTTCTAATTTTTCATTCAAATGTTCTGTTTATGTTGATATTTTGATGAATCAGTCACAAAATTCTCAGCAAATGTCTATTACTTCAGTGATTCATATACAGTATCTGTTATTTATACTCAAAAAAATATGAACCCAGCTTCTGTCTAAGAAGCTGTTGTACTGGCATGTCCCAGACTGCACTTTGACTCCATCTCCATTACAAGAGGCAGAGGCCTGGGTGCATGGAGCCCCATTTTGAGACTGATGCACATCCAAAAGAGGGTGTGCAGTGGAGTATGTGGGGTTGAATATACCAGTATACAAAGATATACACAGATATACGCTGAACCTGCAGGCACACTGTCTTAATACATAGTCATCCACACTTCATATCACTGCACCGTAGTGGAGAAGCGATTAAGAAAAATGGATGGATATTACACTTCAAATCACAGAAATATGTAAAATATCTGCACCTAAAAATTGAATCGAGAGAAGAGGCAGACCGATGGAACGGGAGTCCACCGTGCAAGGTAATACCAGTATCAGTGTGAAAGGTGGTCACTTAATTAGGAGAGCAATGTAGGGTGGGCTTCCCACCGTTGTCTATTCTACCCATGATGCACCACTTGCATCTGTATATATTGTTTGTTTGCAGAGGTGTCATATGTAATTTATTATTTATTGCCAACCGCTGAACTTATAACTTCGTAGTTATTGCCTCTGTGGTCTGAAGGAAGGCTGTATATAACAATTTCATTGTACTATGTGCAAACAAGAATAAAGTCTTTACTCTGGGCTTTATTTGGTTGTGTTAATTAGGTTTGTGGTGTTTGTTTTATTCACCATTAGCAGCCTAGGTCACGCATTCTTGCCTTATTCCTTTGGTGTGCCATTAAAGAGCCAAATATAGCTAAAAGGATTTGGAGGTGACTTTTGTTTACCTCTTATCAAGAATTATCATGAACTTACAACACTTCAGGCCATATACTGCCTTTTAAATCTTTCCAGAAGTCCCAATTATCAAGGCTGTGTGAAACAAAAAACGCATATAAATAACTATAATATGGGTTATTTTCCTTGCAGTCAAGCCTCCGCCAGGTTTTGAAGTTCCATCTTCCAGTAGATATGCTATACATTCTCCTCATCTCCTCACAATGTACCCAAAAAGCCAGACCATAGTTCTGATTTAGACACTTCCTGAGTGTTTGAACTTTCAGTCTGTAGAAGTTTCTGCCAGGGTGACTCAAACGTAATAAGATCAGAATCTTCTATATCTTTTTTTCTGGTTTCTATACTACGCCACCAAAAACTGACCCAAAAAAAGATGTGTCTCAGTAATTATAATGCAATCTTAAGCATTTCTCTAAGCTATTTTTTTTAAATACTGAGGGAATGCTAATATAACATTTTAAAAGGAGCAAAACCCATCCTACGTAGCGAACTGAAGAAAATCCAAATCATGCATAAGCAAATTTAACATAACCCAAAAATGCTAAAATCCCCAGAGAATCATTTCCTCAGTCTTCTGATAGTCTACTATCCCACTCATCAAGGTGCACGATTGATCATATACTTCTTGTGAGGGATCCCACTGTTTGTCAGAAATCTCTTTTCATGTAGCATTGCTTCACCATGTTCTATAACAGCCAGCTTTGGGTCACCTATATTCAGTTCTGCCTTAGATAAGTTATTGTCACAGGGGGGTAGCTTGACCTTGAAAGGATAAAACTAATTCTCTTCTGAATACACTAGAGGTTTGCAGGCAGGTGGTACTTTAGGTCGGACTCACACTTGGCCCGGTTGCATTGTACCATGCCTGAGCACGATTATCTCCCCCCGCCACTGGTCTTTGCACGTAACGTTCTGGGCACGCTTTTATCATCACCATGTGACTTTTTGTGTTGAAGATTTGTGTCTTATTTGAGTGGTGTCCAAATTCAGGAGATGCATCCTTCTAAGGTTGCATTAGAAGACTGAATGCGTGACAGCAGTGCGACAAGGCCGTCCCATTTCAAAGTCTCCTTCACAGGAATTTTTACACTCATTGCCTAAAGCCCTGTAAATGTTTGTTACTAACCTATCTGTAATGTACTGCCTACCCTATCTGTTCCTTTTGAGTCCGTTTCATGTATATTCATGTATTTCATGTAAGTTGATGCATATATGGCATGCGTGTGCCAATTGCATCATTGAAGTCATGTATGTGTTGCATGTACTAGATGCATACCACGCCTGAGTCCAACAGAAATGTGCCCAAGCTCACCTCTTCAAGCAGACCTGGGCACGGATTAGTGTACTATGCCTGGGCATGGATTAGCGTACTATGCCTGGGGATCAAACGTGCTTGGGCACGTTGCAGATGGCCTAGCGCAGGGACCCCCAATTCCGGTCTTGGAAGGCCAGTCTGCAACACAGTTTTCAGATTTCCTTGCTCAAACTTACCTACTAAACAGATGTGAAATCTTCAAACTGTGGCGCAGACTGACCCTCCAGGACCGGAATTGGGGGTCCCTGGCCTAGTGTAAGTACACCCTTAGGGGGGTTCTGTCATACAAGGTTGTATCCCTTAGGTTACAGACACTGGACATGAGCATGATTTTGCCATACAGTTACTGCATAAAACTGCATAAGTTGCATGTGAGGAGACAACGGTCTTTGAAACATGGATTGTGGAGTTCAACAGAACAAGAATGCGGCAAAGAACCAGCGACTAATACATTTTGTTCAGAAGATAATAATAGGCAAAGTTGCTCTTAAATGTCATGTTTAAGATGCGTGGTATACATGTTTTTACTAAATTTTACTAAAACTAATTGTGCACTACATACTTACAGTGTGCAAGGCAAGGTTGTAATCGATAACAAAAACATATTCATAAACAAAATCAGACACAAAAATTCAAACGAAAACTACAACTACACTATAACTAGAAACTATCAGAAACCAACTGAGATCACAAAAACAAACGTCAACTACTTTTCGTTATCATTCTGAGAGGGTAGGATCGGTATTTACATACAATCTTTAGTCTGACTTCTTTTTGACTTCCTGTTACTTTTACCCTGGCCAATGAATGGTCCTGGTTCATTTGCGTCACTGAGTGGAGCCTCTGCAGAACTGAGTCAGGAACATATTGCCTGTAAAGGAACAAATGACTCTCTATACCCCTGTACCAAAATGTTGAATATATAATGCAATTCTTATAGAGCCTGGGAGTCCATTTTATCTTTTTTTTTTTTTTGGTCGTGTAGTTTTATTTATGATTTATTTATATTGGATATTTGTTTTTTGACATGGCAATTCCAATGTTTTCTTAAGAATTAAAAGTTCATTGCTCTTTGAAAGGGTGTCCTTGCATTATTGGGCTATTGTCATCAAATCAGTGGCACAATTATATCGTGTATCACAGTTATTTCTGGGACAATATATCGTTGAACAGTAGTAGCTATTGTGACAGGCCTATCCTCTGCCTTGTGTCCAGTGCTCCGTGGTGCAGACTGCAGGATCACAGTGAGCCTGTATTAAATAAGCAGTGATGCAGTAGATATTCCTTTTCCTTTCCCACCCACACAGTAAAACACAATAGGTAACAGTCTGTTAAAATATAGTGTAAATAAAATATTTGCCAGTGCATTTAGAAAGACTCATCATCTTCATATATATATATCCCATTGGTCAAACTACATGCATACTTTCGCTCTATAGTTGGCAAAAATGTTTTTTTATAGAGGTACAATGGCTCCCTAATCCTTGTCACGGCGGATGATTCAGTTGCACAGATGCCTACACATTTCAGCAGATTGTATCACTGCTCTTTTTAAGTTGATTAAGTTGATATTCAAAATGTTCATTTCCATGTACCATTCCAAAATATTTTCTTTATTAAAGTTCTGGCTTTTTCAGTAATGCATCCTAATTTTTATTTCCCGTCTTTTCCAGTAATGAATGTCAATAGTCTTTTGTGGATTATTCTAGCTATTATTGGCAATGCATGACATTTAGTCTGATTTCCGAACTTTGCATATAAATAACTTTATCTGTTGTGCTGCACCATGTTTGATCACTCTGGGTAATTTGGGGCGATGGCAGGATATTCACATGATCAAAAGCCATGACCCTGCACCTTCCAGTTGGCTGTAAGGGGGAAACTGCACCCGAATTACCAATTTTTATCATCACCACCCCTCCAGGCCCAGCCATTGGACACTACAAAAGTAGTTTGGTGATATGGCTTATGGTTGCTGGAGATTTCTGCAAAAAAACACGTCTTGTGTCAAAACAGGTTTGGAGGCTTGGTTAGCTAAGCCGTAAGCTTGATTGTTCTTGCTCCATGCTTCTGAATATTCCTCAAATCGGATTGTTGCATAATAGAAGCAT